TGGGCTGCGCCACATTCTCTGTCCCTGTCGGTGGACCTGCTCTTTAGGAGGGGTCTTGGTGTTCTATTTGGGCCCCTTTTTGTAGCAAACAGGAATCCTTCTAAAGGGCACCCTGTCCCCAGTGAGGTGGATGGGTGACTCTGAACAGAGAGGTGTGGGGGAGGAGCTACAGGGGTGATCTCAAGCAAAATGGTGGGAGGAGGGGCCTTGTGTGGAGTAACTGTACTTTCCTTTGACTTTTGGGGTGTAATTATCCTTGTCCTTCTATGGGTTTGCCTTGTGGAGGGAAATGAGGCTCCAAGGATTTGCCAGAGGCCCTGTTTTGGTCTTTCTTAAACTGCAGGTGGGTCTCCAGGCATGCTTGGCCAAGAAGCTCAGGCTGAGAAGGAAAAATATGGCGATTCCAGCCCTCGGATGCCATGACCTTGAGCTCTACACCAGGAACGTTGTGGGATGAAAGGGTTGGAAGGAAGTTCCAGGGAGGCTTCTTTAAATAATAATAATAATAAATATAATAAAAGTCACAGCAAAGTAAAAGTTTAGTTTTTTTTCATGTTTTTATTAGTCCTTGCTTTTAGGGGCCACAGAGTAGATTTTGACTCCTAGCAACCCCAAGTGACTGAGTAGGACTGCCTCATAGCAAAGTAGCCCTGGTATTCTGATGCTGGTGGTGCAAACCCACCAGTTCTGAGGGAGTGAAGATCTGGTGATGTGCCCCCATAAAGATTGCAGCTTGGGAAACTCTGGGGAACTTCCATTTTGCCACATTATCTGGTTTCTCTAGTGCTGCTAGAAACACCACAAGTAGATGGCTTTAATGAACAGGAATTCATTCTCCTACAGTTTAGGAGGCTAGAAGTCTGAATTCAGAGTGCTGGCTCTAGGGGTTGGGTAAAGGCCCTTTGGCCCCGGGCTTCATCTCTGCCTCTGGCTCTAGGCTCACTGGAGCTGGAGGCTTCTTTTGACTCAGACAGCTGCTAGCTGCTGAGACTGATGAACCCAGGAGCGGAGGTGAAGTGGTACAATATGAAGATGGGCAGGCAACACGGCAGCCCACTGTTCAAGTCTAGGGACTGGGGATGAAGACTAGGCCAAAGACAGGATCCAAGTGTGCCAAAAGCTAGAGAACCTTCTCAAGGTTTCTCCTTATATACCGGAAGCAGGTTACACCCCAACGGCTTCTCCCTTTCCACTGATCAATGTCTTACAGCAGATTCTGCCATGGAGGTGATCATAATTTCATCATGGGGAATAACTACATCCAGCTGCCAAGTCACTCAGAATCATGGCCGAGCCAAGTTGACACACAACCTTAACTACTACCCACATTGAGTCACTATGAGTTGAAAATGGACTCAATAGCACCACCCAACAACAGCAGCAGCAGCAGCCTTTATGGGGGAAGATGTCCACGTGTTTCTCCAGTGAAGATGTTGGGTGGATTCAAACAACTGACCCTTCAGTTAGCAGCCGCCCACTTACGTGCTTGGGTCATGAGGTCTCTTTAATGTTTTAGAGCACTTTTAGGGTTACAGAAAAATTGAGAAGATGTGGGGAGTTAATGCAGCATATACCCCAACACCCCTCACAGCTTTATCCTTATTAGTACATTTTGCATTCATGTCATATGCTTTTTCCAATTGATGAACCACTACTGATGCACCGTTATTGACTGAAGTCCATAGATGGCATTAGGGTTCACTCTTTGTCTTGTAGATTTGTATGGTTTTGACAAATGCACAATGTTGGGCATCCACCATCCCAGTATCATGCAGAATAGTTGTACTGCCCTAAAAATGCCCTGTCCTCCTCCATCCATGTGATCCCTGAACTTTTCACTATCTCTTAGTTTTGCCTTTTCCAGAATGTGATAGAGTTGGAATC